AAACACCTTTAATCCCAGCACTTGGGAGGCAGAGGTGGGCTGATCTCTATAAGTTTCAGACCAGCCTGGTCTACAAGAGCTAGTTCCAGGACAGCCTCCAAAGCCACAGAGAAACCCTGTCTTGAAAAGCAAATAAATAAATAAATAAATAAATAAATAAATAGCGTTCTATAGGTCCTGTGGGGCTTCCTGTTGACACAATCAGGCCATGACTTACTTGAACATATTTCATGATTCTTTTTATCTCCTTTATTGTCTTATTAATAAAATCATTATTGCATTGTATTTCTAATTAATTTTTTATCGATTGAGGCTTAATTTTGGATATGATCTCACTATGTAGCCCAGACTGGCCTAGAACTCTCTATGTAGCACAGACCTTCTCTTAAACTCACAGCAATTATCCACCTCAGTCTTGCAATTGCTGATATTATAATCATGAACGACTATACCAAGTTTCATTGTTGCATTATTTTAGAGGTGGCTTTAGGGTACCACTGTTTATCTTTAAGTGATAATTATATTGCCTCACACATACAGCATAAGAACCTTAAACAAGGCTGGAGAGATGTCTCAGCTTGTAGGAGCTCTTGATGTCCAAGTGTGAAGATCCAAGTTCAAATCCCTGGCACTCAAGAAAATTATATGTGGTTACATGCATGTGTAACTAAAAAACTGGGGATGGGGAGGCAAGGGGGGGTCTCTGCTCTCTTAGCTCTAGGTTAAGTGAGAGACCCTATCACAAAGGAATAAGGCAAAGTTATAGAACAGGACATCAAATGTTCCCCTTACCAAACACATACATATTACACCTTCTCCCCCCAACCTCCCATAAAACCTTAAAGACTATTCTCCATATATCCTTTTCCAGCCACCACTGCCCGGCTCCAACCATCAATTTAAAGAGGGATTTATATTACATTAATCATTTCTAGGTGTTTGCATTAAGAGGGCTTTGCACTATCTACTTTGTCTTTTTTTTTTAAGGAAAGTCTATCTTGAGTCTTTCCATGGTGAATGGTTCTCAGAGATAAAACCTAGGAATAGCTGATATTTGAATACACAAGAATATCAAAATACTGCAGCCCCTCCAAACAGCCAAGTGGTGGTGAGTTATTTAACTTAAAAAGCTAGATGATCTCACAGTTATATTAGAAACAATATACTTTATTGTAATGATAAGTTTTCATTTCCTTTAGCCTTAATTACATCTCTTAATACTACAATGATACTAAAAAATCTCTCTCTCTCTATCTACCTCTATCTATCTCTCTCTATCTCTCGATATCCAGTGTAAGTCTACAGTCATACCATACTGAACATGATGGGTCTTGTCTGGTCTTGGAAGCTAAGCAGGGTCAAGCCTGGTTGGTACTTGGATGGGAAATACCCAGTGCCAGCAAGTCTCATCTTGTCTGCTAGATCACAAGCTCTATGAAGATGATACATGTATTTCACAGTTCTCTGGTACTCCTTTCCCAACTCTGAGCTCCATATACAGTAGGTATTTATAAGTTAGGAACTTATGAATACATATAGTGAATGACGTTATGGAACAGAGAGCTAAGTTACAGTCCTAGCAATCATTTGCATAAAGCAAAAGGCTACACCTCTTTCTGTTTCCCAGAACCTGTGGATCAGGCTTCTTTATCAAGCTGGTTTACTGAGTCTAAGATGGGCAAGGAGCCCTGACCTACTCTTGTATCTGGATTTCAAGATTCGTCAGGTTAGCATGCCTCTTCCATTCTTTTTTATTTATTTTTTAATTTAAATTTAAATTAGAAACAAGGTTGTTTCATAAGTCAGTTCCAGGTCCCTCTCTGTTTCCTTCCCCTCCTCCCGTGTCCTCCCCTCAACCCTCCCCATATCCCCTCATTTCCCCAGGGAGGGTGAGGCCCTCCATGGGGGTGTCCACCTTCCCATTCTTTAAGTGGAGTCAGAATCCATCCCAGCATTTTCTTTCCCTTAGTCCCCCATTTGAACACTATGATAGGTAGGTGCTTAGGCACCAAGAAGAGAAAATGTGGCTCTTGCCCTCTGGAAGCTCACTCTGAATCAGACATGCCCAAGCAATCAGGACAGCTAGGCTTCCAGTAACCTATTTTTTTCTTCCTGGCTGGAGTGCCAGCCAGCCCAGCATACTTCCTCATGGTGCAATAAGCACAGGCTGTACTCAGCTCATTGCCCCAAATTCATCCACTCTTCTTCATTCCTCGGTTTCATTACCTAGGTTTCCTAATCCAGTTTGAAGGTCAGAAGACTAGGTGGTGAGAAGTTGTAGTTCAAATGACAGGAAACGAAGGGAACCCATCCCTTACTGTTTGGATTTAGGAAGACTTCACTTACTTAAGTCTCCCATGGACACCCCTGTGCTTCGGGATTTCTTCACCACTCACTGAACTATTACAGAAGCTCCAGTCTCTCTTGCAGCATCCAGGCTCTCCTGACTACAGTTTACTCCCACCCTTTTAGAGCACCTGTCCACTGTGCAGCCCTAGCAGTGGACTTCCTGCAGAGTCCCCTACTGCATTGCCGAAAGAGTATCAAGTCTTTCAAGGGGGAAGGCCTTCCACTAACATCTACTATTGTATGTGATGATGACACCAATGTGACTCCTAGGACGCATGTGAAGGGACTGTATAAGACAGAGAATCAGCAGGGCCAGGGATTGTGGCACACACCTTTAATCCCAGCACTTGCCAGGCAGATCTCTGGCAAGGCCAGTCTGGTCTACTTGGAGAGTTCTGGATCAGCCAGTTCTACACAGTAGTGTCCCATGTCAAGGAGAGAAGAAGAGAGTATATCACTTCCCAACATATTACCTCTTAAATATTACTATTCTGGGGCGCTGTTAGAGAGCACTAAACATGCTGAGACAACCTACATACCCAACAATCAGGAGATAAATAAAGCTCAACCACATCTCTAACAATAAGTAATTCATTGTTTAGCTGGGTATGGTGGCGTACACATTCCTGTAATCCCAGCACCTGGGGTGCTGAGGCAGGAGAGTAGTGAGTCATTCCATACCTCTTTTCACTTTGTTTGAGTCCCTGTCTCTCTCAGTCTATCTCTCTCTGTGTCTCTGTCTCTGCCCCCCCATCCACCTCTGACTCTCTTATCCCTGGCCCTATTATGCTGCGAATCCTGCTCACCTGAGTTGGGGTCCTCAAATCTGAGGAGCAAGCGTTGTTTACCCACTAAGCCATCTCCTCAGTAGCCACCCTTCTATTTATCTATTTTTGCTTTTAGATCTTACCATATAACCCAGACTTTCCTAGAACCAGAGGTCTTCCTGCCTCCAGCCTTTGAAGTGCTGGGATTGTGAGTAAGAATGCGACACCAGATTTGATGGGAATTTACTGTTGATTCAAGTGACAACATGAATGGAGTCTCAGAAAAATTACTGAGCTAAAGAAGCCATATAAGAAAGAGCACATGCTGTATAACTATAGTTATATAAAATGCTAGAAAGTGCAACAGATCTAAAGGAAAAAAAAAACCAAGCCATTGCAGAGTGGGTCAGAAGATGAGGATTATGGAGGACACAGGGATCTTGGCAGTAATGGGCATGTCCCTGTCTTGATTTGGTGATAGTTTCAAGAGTGTACACTTTTATCTTGAAACTTAACAAACTGTACAACTTAAATACATGCAGTATACTGAAGTCAGTTATGACCCGATATGGCTGTTCTTAAAACTGAGATTCAGGTGCCAGCTGATGGCAAAAGCGTCATAATGTCAAAGAGTGAGACTGTGCATAGCACCTGAGCTGCAGAAAGGCCTCTTCCTCGGGTAGCTATCTGGGAGGAGCTTCCTCTAGGCTGAGCAGGGCTAAAACTGCATTCACTTTCAGATTATTTGAAATAGCTGCAGGCCATTTCTGGCAGCTCAGGATCATTTTTCTGCTGTCTATCCAGTTTAAAAAAAATTTACCAACTAAAGCCAACTTTACAGATGGAGGGCCCTGGGAAAATGAATGCCATAACACCCATACAGAGCCAACCCCAGAAGCAGTTGTGAGTGGCATGGCTATGACCCAGTCCCGAGGAGACTGAATTGGATGCCCACACTGGGAAGTTTTGCTTTAAAACACACTCGGAAATAAGGAGTTACTAACTCACAGGGATGTCTATGGATAATCTTCAGTGAGTTCTCAGCCCCCAAATCATACGCACATTTTGCAAGCATGTGTTTTCACATACATTTCTGTACAGAGCAGACATAGATTTTTATCAGAATCTGAAGAATGTCATGATTATGAAAAGATGAAGCATCCTGAGCTGGGACATTGCTAGACCCATCTGTTCTTTCTCTTTCCCTCTAGACTTATAGGAACAATACTAAGGTCCCACTCATTCTTCCCGATGAGATTAGATCTAGGCGACACGTTCTGGAACCAGTCTGCCCTCTCTAACCATCCCAGCCCTCGAAAACTGGGAGCTGTTTCCCAGCGAACAGATGTGCAACCTGACCCGCACATTTTCTTCTACTCGCAGCACAGTTCTTTGCCCAGTGCCTTTTCCTTTCCCTTTCCCTAACTTTGACCTGAAAGTCGTGAGGGGTGGTTTTTCCTAGAGCACCCCCCCTCCCCGGAACCCCACAAGGCGCGGCACCCCACAGCTGAGCGTGTGGGCTGGCAGACGCACAGACACACATGTCTCCAAGTTCCCTAACTCTTGCCAAGCTTGTCAGACCTGCTCTTCTCTCTAAGTCACCAAAACGTCAGTGGGGTCCCTCGACTCCCTTGCACACGGTGACTCGGGAGCCAGCCTGGAGCAGGGCAAGGGGCTCTTATCTACCTGCGCTCTCCGCGGCTGCCTCCACGTGTCCTGACTCCCCCCACCACCCCACCCCACACCCCGCCACCAAAACCCCTCGCCCCGCTGTGATCGTCTCCGGCTGCTCTGGCTCAGCCCGGTGAAGTCTTGACCCCTATGGGTCAAATTCAGCTGGGTGTCCCCCTCTACTCCCCTGTTCGGGTTTACGACGCTCCCTACCCGGCATCACCCTCAGCGGGAGCAACAGCAGCAGCAGTAGCAGCAACACCTGGAGGGCGTGGACTCCACAGCCCCGGAGCTGCCGCGAAGTCATGGCCGATCCGTCCCTCAGCAGTGTCCCACCGGGACGCAAGGCTGGGGTCTCAGGGAGGTGGCGAGCTCAGCTCCAGGACCAGCCGGCAGCCAGGAGCATTCGCTTTCGCTTTTGCTTTAGCCCCCGGGGTTGCAGAGAGGTGCGAAGTGGTGACAGATCTGTGACTCAGCATCCCCACCCCTGCTTTGGAAGAAGCCCCGGCGGCCCGCAGTGACACCCCCTCCTCAGAGAGGCTGCTCCTGTCCCCCGAAGCGCGGGGCCCTCACCTGTACAAACCGGCGATCTCCCTTTCGCTCCTTGACGTCGTCTTCACTGCAGAGGCAAACTTCTTTGAGTTCACACCCTGCGGCTTGGTGTGCACACCTATCTTCAGTCTTGTTCATTTGTCACCTGCCTTGGCCTTTGATCCTCGTTAATTCGGTAATTCGGATGGCAACTTTCAGAGTTTCTCTCCAGGTAGCCTTGAGATTCACAGTCCACACTTTGCGTCGCTGGGTGACTGCGGAGGTGTCGCCCCAGTGCGGCCGTTCTGGGCAGATGGTGGAGTCTACACCCAGGTCACTTTCCTGGTGCTCTGTGCACTGTGCTCCAAGAAAGGAGCAATATCAGCCTGCAGTGGCGCTGGCAATGATTAACACCTGCCCAGGCCCAGGACACTTCGTCTTATTCCGGTTGCGCCGCCGTTCCAACTCAAGAAAATGCCAAGTGTTTGAGCTGAGAGAGGGGCATAGAGGGAAAGGGAGGGGAGATGGAGTAGGAAAAGGAGGAAGAGGGGGAAAGGGGGAGGAAGAAGGAGGAGGAGGAAGCAATGTATAGACGAGGAGAAGAAGAGGGAGGAGAGGAGGAGGAGAGAGGAGGAGGAAGGAAGATAAGTTTAGACAATAGGCAACTTTTCAGAGTCTAAGAAAACCATGCCTCTCTCTCTCTCTCTCTCTCTCTCTCTCTCTCTCTCTCTCTCTCTCTCTCAATCTGTGTGTGTGTGTGTGTGTGTGTGTAAAACTTTCTTGGAATTTTAAGTCAAGCCCCATGCTGTGCAGGATCTGACTCTGACCCTGGGAAAACACCTGGGGTAGCGGCTCAGTCAGAAATGCCCCTGTCTAGATGAAGCTGCGTTAGCAAGAGAGATGCACCGGAGTTTCAGTTTGTAGCTCCCTAGATAAAATCTGACACCATTTTAAGCTATTGAAAGAATGCGTGCAGATTTTGTTTGAAAAAAAAAAGTAGTGATGTGTGATTGAAGTAACCCATCCTTTGGACAAGATGGGATGAATGCTCTATACTTGCCCCTCCCCTAAAAAGGTTTAAGATTGGCACAATAAATATGAAATATGCCCAATAAAAGTTTATAGAGATGGTCAGAAACCACACCTTCCAATCCCTTACAGTCAATGAAAGAGCTGGAGAGGTCGCTTAGAGCACCGGATGCTTTTTGAAAGGACTTGGGTTCAGTTCCTAACACCCATGCAGGGCTCGTCACTATCTGTGATTACAGTTTCAGTGGACCCAGCTCCCTCTTTTGGCCTCCTCCGGCATTGCATGCACATGGTGCACATACATACATATTGTCAAAACACATCAAATAAAATGTAAAAAAAAGCCAACATTTTGTGTGCTTCAAATGTGTAAACACTACTTTTATGATGGACATTTTCAAATACCAAAAACAAGAAGTAGTCAGGTGTGGTGGTACACACACTGGAGTCCAGCACGTGAGAGGGGGAGGCAGAAGGATCAGAAGCCAGCAACTTCATTGCCAACGTGGGTGGTCACATGAGAATCTGTGAGTGATGTGTGGGGGACAGTGTCACCCTCAGCAACCTAATAAGTACCCTTAATCATTTAGAGCCAAACTGGAATTTGTGCCTTCAATGTAGAAAATGTGCCTCAACTGGGCAATATGGTGCAGGGAAGCGGTATAACAAAGATATATTTAATCCAAACTTCAAAAGAGGATTCAAAAAAGGCAGAGCTCAGAAAGGTAAAAAGCACATCCTAGAACATGGGTGTGGGGCTCTCATACATCAAGCATATTCAGGTTTTATTGAATGCATAAGAAAAATATAGCTGGGTGTTGGTGGTGCACGCCTTTAATCCCAGCACTCGGGAGGCAGAGGCAGGCGGATCTCTGTGAGTTCGAGGCCAGCCTGGTCTATGAAGCAAGTGCTAGGACAGGCTCCAAAGTCACAGAGAAACCCTGTCTCAAAAAAAGTATACATACATACATACATACATACATACATACATTTGGTGGAGTGGTACATGCCTGTAATTCTAGCTCTCAGGGATGGGGGCAGGAGAATCCAGAGTTCAAAGCAACCTCGGCTATGTAGTGAGTTTAAGACCAATCTAGGCTACATGAGATTCTATATCATTCCACCCTCACCCTGCAAAAGTACTTCTTTCTAGTCTATGAAGTAGAGTGTTTTACTATTGTTTTCAGAATCTTGTGATTCTTTGGCATGAATTCAGAGGAGACACAGAACACCGTGCAGAAATCAGGCAGAAATATTCCAGAGTAGCATGAGTGACTCTCAACTCAAAGTGAGCTCCAGGACAGCCAAGGCTACACGGAGAAACCCTGTCTCAAACAAACAAACAAATAAACAAGCGTCTATGTTAAGTTTTATTGAATGCATTGTAAAGGAATGACAGCAGCAACTCGAGCACCATGTGTAGAGTTGACTGGTGTGCACTTGTTGGTATAAGAGTGGCCTGTGATAACCACGCAACAGAGTCAATACTAGGCTGTTCTGAGATTTCCTCTGTCAACAGAATGAATCCAAACCACTGTAGCCTCTGGGAGACTCCTTGGGCAAGGGCAAAAAGCAGCCACATTCTTTTCTAAACTATCGTAAGACAGGTCTCTAAGTCACGTATTACTATTCTCCTCTGAAACCTCTTGAACCAGGCCTCCACAGTTCATCAGATCACACTCAGCACCACTGTCTTCCGTGTTCCTACTAGAATGGTTCAGCAAGCAGCACTCAAAGCACTCAGCTGCTTTTCTAATCCACAGCCCTAAGGTCCATGTTCCTTCGGACAAAAGCACAGTCAGGCCTATCACAGCAATGTGTCTCTGGTACCAACTTCCGTCTGAGTTAGGGCTTCTATTGCTGTGAAGAGACACCATGGCCATGGCAACTCTGATAAAGGAAAATGTTTAATGGGGTGACAGTTTCAGAGGTTTAGTCCATTATCATTATGGTGGGACATGATGGTGTTCAGGCAGACATGGTGCTGGAGAAGGAACTGAGAGTTCCAGATCTTGATCAGCAAGCAGCAGGAAGTGAATTTTCTCACTGGGTGTGGCTTGAGCATATGTGATACCTCAAAGCTCATCTACACAGTGACATTCTTCCTTCAACAAGGACACATCTCCTAATAAAGCCACCTCCTTCGGGGCCATTTTCTTCCAAACCACCACTGCAGGGTAGTGCTATTTGGGCCTATGTTCAACCCTAGAGTGGCCAGGCCACCATTTACAATTTAGGCAATATTCAGCTGAGAATCTCAGCTGGTAAGACAGGGTCTGTAACTGGAGAAAGGTGGGGGGTAGCATTGCCTTTGTGGATCATTGCCTCTGTGAATCTGACTCTTTATAGTACTGTGAAGTTGGAAGGAATCAATCTTCTCTCCACCTGTATCCACAATGCTTGGAAAAAGCACATCAGAAAACAACACGTGGGAAGTGGTTCTCTCCTGTTGCCACTGGGTCACAGAGATCAAATTCTAGTTGTCAAGTTTAGTGACAAGTGCTCTTCCTGGCTGAGCCATTTTGCTGGTCTGGAAGAAGAATTTTTGTTAATTAAAGATGTGGAGACACCTATTAGAATTGTTTAAACTGGATAAGACATTTTGCCTTCCTGCCAACTAGTGGATGAGGCTGGATGTACTATAGATTCAATGAGGAAGCTACAATTTCTTGTTTTGGAAAGTTTTAAATTGATACATATTTTAATTGTACATAATAATGAGTTTCATTATGACATTTAAATACATCCATATATAGCACCCTCATTACACTCTTATCCCCTCCTGCTGGTCTCTTTCCTCTTCACAGATAGTTCCTCTTCTAATGTCGTGTGTGTGTGTGTGTGTGTGTGTGTGTGTGTGTGTGTGTGTGCAGTGAGTTTAATGAAGGCTACTTAAAGAAGATTATTTACAGGAATATGGGCAACTTACCAGTAGTTGCAACACTGAAGAAAATGTCTCTCTTTCAGCAATCAATAACTCCACAAATACTCAGGGAACCCCTTACCCTCTATCATGGAGTGTTAATTGGCCCTATGCAAGTCCTGAGCAGGTAATCACAGTTTCTGAGACTTCAAGAGTGTGGTGGTCACAGCACATCATATCCAGAGGAAAGTGTTTCACTATACTCCACCCATCTCCAACCTCTGACTTTTACATTCTCATCTTGCTGTTCCATGAGCCATAGAAAGGGTGGTATAAATGACCTATTAATGGCTGAGCATTCAACGCTCTTTTTGTTATTGTGTTTACTTGTTTGTTTCTCAAGACAGGGTTTGATTGTGTAGGCTTGGTTGTCCTGGAATTCACTATGTAGCCTAGGCTGGCCTTAAACACACAGAGATCTGCCTGTCTCTCCTTAGTGCTGGGGTTAAAGGAGTAAAACCATTATCACCTGACTCAACAGTCTCTTATTGTCAGAGCTTTGACCAGTTATAAGCCTCTACAATAACTACTAGTCACTGCAAAAAGAAGCTTCTATGATCAAAGTTGACAAAAACTATTCTTTAGGCAAAAAAGTCAATATTAGGAAACAAAGTAAGTATTAGGAAACAATTTGACAGGACATCTTGTCCATTTAGCAAAACAACAGCAGCTGCTTCTCTAGTAGAGCCTATAACCTTCCCGGACCCTGGATTTTGACCAGGTTTAAGTATTAGTTAGTGTTTCTATTGCTGTGATTATACATCATGACCACAGCAACTCTTATAAAGGAAAAACATTTAATTGGGGTGGCTTACATTTTCAGAGATTCATAGTCCATTGTTGTCATGGTAAAACATGATGGTGTGCAGGCAGATATGTGCTAGACAAGGAGTTTAGAGACCTACATCTTGACCCACAGGCAAAAGGAAGGGGTCTGAGTGTCACACCAAGTGAAGTTTGAGCCAAAGGAAACCTCAAAGCCCACCCCCATAGTAACACACTTTCTCCAAGGCCACACTACTGTAACAAAGCCACACCTCCTAATAATGCTACTCCTTATGAACTTATGGGGACCAATTACATTGAAACTACCACACCAGGCATGAGTTGAATGGAATAAGTCTCAAATTTAAGCATAAAGTCTTTGGTTACCCCATAATAATCATGCCACATTGCACCAATGGGCACATCTTGCCTGGCAGGTCTGGAGTATAGAATACAGGATCCATAGCTGAATAAGACTATTGAGGGGAATTCTCCTCAATGGCCTACATAGCATCTTCTAACACTATGACAACTAGCTAGCATGGAGGAAAAAGCAGCTCTAATTTCCATGTGGGTCTGTAAGTATGTATATTAATCACAATCAGTCAGTCAGAGCTTCCGCAACAAAGATCCCTCACTAAGTGTGTTTTGAGCTATATTGTATTGGCTGAGGTGGTCTTCACAACCTGATACACTGATAGAAAAATTATCTTCAAATTCTGAGTGGTTGTTGAGGTAGGTGCTATCCCTTTAAACTTTAGCTTGGGGAATGAGTATGCTTGCATCTATCATACTTCTTGGCTAAAACAAATTGTATGGCCTTGCCTGAGCTTAAGAGGGTGATGATGAGTATTTTCCCCATGTGGGCCACCAAATATTTATGAACATTATTCCTGCTTTGAGATAGTATGATGCATTCTCCTTGTAGCCCGTGCATCCTATAATATGTCTTCTAGGATTTCTTTGAATTTACAATTGTTAACCATGAGTGTCTGTAAACCGATTTTCTGTCCCACCTGGCCCCACAGCTGCTTTGTCCCAAATAAACACACAGAAACATATTATTCATAAACTGTTTGGCCAATGACTTAAGCTTCTTACTGGCTAGCTCTCTCTTAATTATTAACTCATTCACTGGCTCATGCTCAGCCAGTTTGCTTATATAACCCAAGTCTACCTGCCTATGGATGATGCTACTCACAATGGGCAGGACCTTCCCGTATCAATCATCAGTAAAGACAATCTGATCAAGGAGATTCTTAATTAAGGTTCCCTCATCCTAGGTGTCTCTAGGTTGTGCCAAGTTGACAATATCAACTAACTAGAGCAACAATAAGATATGTTCTTCTAAGGCCTGGGGATTTTACTAACAAGGAAAGAAAAGAAGAACGGATTTAGGATGCCATTGGGAGTAATTTGTCATTGCTGTATGCCCGATTTGAGATAATTTCAACATCTCAGCTGTACCCAAGTCTGGATGTGATGCTCACATGAGCCTCCAAACCATGTCTTGCCTTTGTCTTGGCCACCCTTTTCATCACTATGACGAAAGAGCTGACAGAGATAACTTAGGGGAGGAGAGGTTGGCTTTGGCTTACAGTTTTAGAGGGTACACTCCACAGTGGCAGGTAAAGCACAGAGGATGACTCTGTGGCAACAGAAGTATGTTGTGGAACTCCTCACATGGTGGCTTCATAGGATAGCAGAGAAAGAGACTAGAAGCAAGTCTGGGCTGTCACCCTCAAAGGTTCACCTCCAATTACCTGTCTCCATGAGCAGAGCTTCTTAAAGGTCCCATAACCCAAAGCAGTTCTGCTAGCCAGTGTTTGAACCCATGAGCCTGTTGAGGACATCTCCAATTCAAGCCACAACAGCTTTTTAGCAGAATTTTTTCAGACCTTTTTTATGTTATTAAAAATTATTAAAAGCATTAAAAATAACTAAGGATCCCAAAGGGCTTCCTTAATGTAAACTAGTATCTACCAATATTAATCATCTTTAAAAACTAAAACCAAGCCGGGCATTGGTGGCACATGCCTTTAATCCCAGCACTTGGGAGGCAGAGGCAGTCGGATCTCTGTGAGTTTAAGGCCAGCCTGGTCTACAGAGAAATCCTGTCTTGAAAAAACAAAAACAAAAAACAAACAAACAAAAAAACTAAAACCAAGAAAAATTTAAAATATCATTAATTAATTATTTTATAAACAACAAGATAAATCCATTATATGTTAACATCAGAGTAACGACAACTTTACACATGTAGCTTCTAGGAAATTTCACCTTACATTTACGAAGGAGAGTAAAACAGTTAAACAATATCTTAGTATTATTAAGAAAAAATTTTATCGTATCCCCATCTCCCAGAGGACAAAGATTCAGTTCCCAGCACCTACATGGCAGCTTACAACCAGCTGTTTCAGGGGATTCAACATCTTCGACTGACCTCCCTGGGCACCAGGCACACATGTGGCAAACAGATATGCATTGAAAATTTAATTTTATACAAGTAAGATCGTTCTTATGGAGAGGGCAGGGTTTTGCTATTTAGGTCAAGCTGACCTCACATTTGCTGTGATCCTCCTGCCTCATCCTCCTGAGTCCTGGACTTCAAAGTATGTACCACCAACCACAGCTCTCTAGAAAGATTTTTAACATTATTTTTTCTTTTCTAAAATTAGTGGTTTGAGATTCTACTTAATCTTTCTTTTCCCCAAGAAAGGTATACTTTTGAAAGGTCATAGATAGGAAAAGTCTGGTTTACACTTGGTCACATAAGAGATCAAAAATGGCTCTGTCTGATCTTTGATTTTCTATAACATTTTCAGTCTTTTCAGAAATGAAAACTGATACTTGAAGCTTCTTGTGAATCCTCCCAAACAAGGTTAAATTTGAATATCTGACTCAACTTATTTGAGAGGAAATCTTAAGTAAGAGATTGAACAAGAATGCTCTCGGAGGCCTGGGCACCAGAACTTAGTTGCTTTTGGTAGCAGTGGAAGGTGAGACCACACAGGGATAGTTCAGTGGTTCACAAAGTGTGGTCTAGAGATCAGCATCAAGGCACCACCCCAGAACTTGTGAAAAATCCCAGCTCCACATTTACCGACTTAGAGACTGGGCTGGTGTCATAGTCTGTTTTCCTAAGGCTTCCTGGTGACTCAGGATTGGGAGATTTTGGGGGGAAATTATTTGAAGATGGCCAGGATATCTAGTCTGTAGTTAATCTTTAGTATATTCTCCCCTCTTCCTCATTCCTTCCATCCCTTCCATAAATATTCCTTTTTTTTCAGTGTTTTTTGTGATATGTACCAGGTACATGTCTGCACCTTGTATGTCCACTTGTAAGGCCAAATTTAGAGTACAAGTCATAGCAGTCCCAAAGAAACCAGCTCCTAGAGTGGCCTACTAGTAAAGCATCTGGTAAGTCTAATTCTTGTCCCTCCACCTAGCCTTCTGCCCCCAACAATACCTTAGACACAGGCCTCTGAATACCGAAACTCCACAGTTACCCACAACTTGGCCACTTTGTTTTGAGGCTATTAAAAAATTGTCCTGCCATAGTTTATGTTCTTTTTGGAGGGTGTGGGGGTTCAAGACAGAATTTCTCTGTCGCTTTGGAGGCTGTCCTGGAACTAGCTCTTGTAGATCAAGCTGGTCTCGAACTCACAGAGAACCACCTGCCTCTGCTTCCTAAGTGCTGGGATTAAAGGTGTGCACCACCACCACCACCACCCAGCTATAGTTTATGTTCTTTAGAAATTCAAAACTTAAGCTTCAACGGAAAGGGGGTTCCCTTCTAGGATTGAGATAAGAACATATGGAGTCCTAGTTACCAGCCCAGAGTTCTAAAGGCTGGTTAGTAAATGATGAAATCAGAAGAACCAGTTAGGGGACCAGAGGTTGATAAAGGCGTCACTTGGCTAGGATGAGTTTGTGAGAGCAGGAAGGGTGCGGGTGCAGGGGAGGAGGAAGAGGGGGAAGAGGAGAAGGAATATTTATATTAGTGCTAGGCTTTATGTAGTCTTTCCAAACTGGGAAGTTCCCATGAAGTCACCTAAAATTCTGTTTTGTATATGGCATGAAAGTGTCCATGCCACTCTAGCTTTCATCGACGTATGTACATGAAAACAAAGCATACAGAGTGCTGTTGGGCCCTCTCTCCCATTGAAGACATTAGAAATGGTCAGATCCCATTCTTCAATAGCGAAGTCCAGTTTAGTGATGGAGTCAAGGTTTCCTGACGTGTGTGCTGCTATGGCCAGTGACTTCAGAACTTTCTAGAACCCAAGGGATCAACAGGAGACACCTGTTGAGTGAGTGTTTGGCTTCTTTGATTTCCTTGAGCTTCATGGTTCCCATCAGCTTCTCTTGGCCTCCAACTGCTCTGAGTTTTCTAGATGGTTCTTCTACTCTTCTTCCTGGAAGATGATTAACTCAGTCACAGTCACACATGTCATAGTACAACACGGTCCCCACCCAAATACACGTGAGCTGAACAGTCCACTTTAATGTTGAGATTCTAATTTTGAATTCCACCTCAGAATCTTGCTACCTTCCTACCTAAGGAAACTTAGCCTCAAGGCTTCCCCATCCCTCTGACTTCCACACACATGCAGTGTCAAGGGCCCCGATCTCACTCACACACACACACAAAAAAATAATTAAGGTTAAAAAATAAGAAAAGAGAAAAATATTAACCAGTTACAAAGGGCTGGGTTGTAACTGAATAGAACACATGTGTAGCATGCACAAGGCCTTGGATTCAACTCCCAGAACAAAAATACAAAATTCCTGAAAATTTAACCAATGCGAGCTAGCTATTGCACACTCCTAGTTCCTAGTAATTGTTCCAAAACAATCAAAAACACCTCTGGCAAAGACCAGATTTTTCTGTAATTTAGAGGTAGGTTTCCAGTTGGTCACAAGAGGGCACCATTAGGTGAAAGTAGCCTCTAGAAAATAGACTTTTTGTTTTCGTTTAAGAAAAATTATCTTATTTTTAACTATGTGTCCATTTTGGGAGGAGGTATAAATGTGGGTGCAGGAACCCATGTGTCAGAGACAAGGTCTTGTTATGTAGCCCCAGGCTGGACTCCTCGGTGCTAGGATTTTAGGTTTGTGCCAAATACTCCCAGAGGTATAGTTTTTCTTTTGGGGTTTTGTTTGTTCATTTTATCAAATTTTTTGACCAGAGATGTCATATTGAGATTATATTTCCGTCTCCCTGATGGTACTGGGGGTGTGTGTCTTGGGAACTCACGTGGTTTTAGGCTCTTCCTTACTTCCCATTATAAACTATGCTATTACTGCTCAAGAACAGCCTATCCTCTGTTTCTGAGTGTTTGGGTCTCCAAGCTACCAAAGCTGCTGACTAGGGAGAAGGTCTAACAAGTGCAGAGTCCCCTAGACTGCCAGGCATATGGCATCTTGCTTCATGCCAGGGCTATGAGTGGTTCCTGGTACAACAACCATCAGGGGCTCCTCAACTGGGCTGCAGTGATTTCTACTTCTTGATTCACCTGGGAAAATTAGGAGCAGGCCAGATGAACAAGATAAGAAGGGAAGGAACCGGATTCCTACCTCACCCACCTGTGTTATTAAAGGATTTACGAGATACAAGTGGGCCAGAACTTGCTTTGGCAGAACAAGGGTGCCTTTCACATTTGGAACTGCCATGGTTAGTTTAATTGTCAATTTAACCCAACCTAAAAGTACTGGAAGGGAAATGCTCCTTGATGGGTTACCTAGATTATTCCCCGTGGTCATGTCTGCAGGGGATTATCTTCATTATGTAAACTGATGTGGGATGACCTAGCCCATGGGGTTAGGTCCCAGGCTGTATAAAAAAGAGAAAGTGAGCTGGACATATGTGTGCATCCATTAATCCATTGCACTCTGCTTTTGAATATGGGTGTGACACGAGTAACTGCTTCAAGTTCCAGCCACCTTAGCTCCCACACAATGATGGAGTGCAACCTGGAACTGTGAGTCAAATAAACCCTTTCCTCCTTAAGTTGCTTTGTCTGTTTTTTGTTGTTGTTTGTTTGCTTTGGTTTTTGCTTTTTATCATACCCACAGGAAATGAAACTAAGACAGGGACAGAATATCTCACACAGACGACTCTAATGAGGACAGATTGGCTTTTCTCAAGATGGTTTGATATAAGGTCTCATGTAGCCCAGGATGACCTTGAACTTCTAGTTTCCCTGCTTCTCCCTCCAGAGTGCTGGGATTATTGGTGTATGCCACTATACTTGGTTTCTTGTGGTGCTGAGGTCAAGCCTGGGCTTTGTGAGCATGCTTAAGCACCTGGTCTACCAACTGAACAACATCCCTAGGCACTTTATTTATTCATCTATTTTGAGATCGGTCTTACTACGAAGCTGAGGCTGACATGCTATTGTCTATGCAGCCCAGACTGCCCTCAAGCTCAAACTCCTGATCTTCCTGCCTCCAGATCCTGAATGCAGGGATTAAAGGAATGTACCAGTATGCCCAGTCATTACTCCCTCCCTGCCTGCCTCCCTCCTTTTATCTTTCTCTCTGTGCAAGTGTTATGTATGGGTACAAGTGTGTGGGAGTAAATGTATATGTGGAGGCTTGAGGTCAACCTTGGGTATTGTTCCTTAGCCCATTCACATACTTTTGAAACAATGTTTCTTAAGGAACCTGGAGTCCTCCAGTTTTGCTAGGCTGGCGGGAGTCTAAGGGATCCACTCCTGCCTGCCTCCTCAGGACTGGAAACACGGGTGAGCACTGTCAGGTTCAGCTTCTGTTTGGTTGGTTTTGTTTTTGTTTGTTTGTTTGTTTTTTTGTTTTACAAAGCTTTAGGGGATGGAACGCAAGTGCTCATGCCTGCATGGTAAGCAGTTATAGAGGGAGGTGTCTTTCCAGCTTGTCAGTCTGGGCAGTGTTCATGCTGCCAGGCCAGGGACCAGACGTGGTGGGCACTTAGCACTTACAGTGTCAGACTCACTCACCATCTTCGTTGCCAGGTGAGTCCGCTCAGAAGAAGGATGCTGATGAGCAGGAAGACACAGCTGGCCACTGGGGGGGAGAGAGAGAGAGAGAGAGAGAGAGAGAGAGAGAGAGAGAGAGAGAGAGAGAGTGAGTTCAGGTTGAGCACTGAGGCCATGCTTTGGGGGGTGCAGTGGGGTGTGGAGCGAAGGTTCTGGATCCATGGGTCAGGGGAGAAAATTCCTTAGGTAGCAAGGACCTCCTGCACAGCTGCAGTCTACAGCTTCTTCTTTCTGTAGGAAAGGGGCTGGCACTTGTCCTCTGAAGTGGACTGCAGTTGAAACTTGAGGAAGGCTCAGAGGACAGGCCTCACCATGAAGGAAATGTAGAAGATGGGAAATCCTAAGCACACTGATAATCTCCTGTAGGCAATTACATTTCCCAAATGCTGCCTTATGAAGGTTCCAAATCCACTATTTTTCCCCCAATGGTCCAGACAGGTGTAGCTTTGAAGCCTGTCTTTATACTTCCTACCAGGAACAACTAACGTGCTCATGGACAATTTTTCTCTCTCCCTGGGTCGTGGCTTTGTCCCTCACAAAAATTGGGGAGGCACTGTTCTTGAAGATATATGTGGGAGGAAGTGGTTTAGGGTGCCGTAAGACTTAACTCTTGTGATGCTCTTGATTGACAGAACCTAGAGTCACTTTAGAGACAAAACTCTGGGCATGTCTGTGCAAGACTATCTAGATTATTGCCACTCCCAATTCACTTCTCTGGGTGGGTAAGGCCTTCCTTGGGAGACCAAGTTGGGGAAGGGCTGAAGGGATTGGGAGAGCAATGAAAGAGATGTCTTCTATGAATTTGAAAATTGTGATATTTATTCTTATGATTTATCCCATCTAGAATTTGTTTTCATTTATGGAGTCAGATGCAGAAAAATTAAAATTGTCAGTGCCTGCATTAATCATTGGAATTTTCATTGTTTTGGTTCATTATTATGATATTTTAATAATCTTAATTCAAAAATATGATTTGTATCTATGTCTGGGCTCTCTGTGCACTTCCAACATCCCTCTCTTGATGACACTACCTGTTTCTTACCAGTAATTCATAATCATGTTTACTTAAAATGAATGCAACAAAATTCTTCTTGTACTAAATTCAAAATATTTTATAGTTGTTTTTTGTCTTACTGATTATCAAATTTTTCAGTCATACCAAAAGTTTGTAAACATAAAGAATAATATTTTTGGATGCTTATTGAAATTGACTAAATGGGTTAGATCTCTATAAAATAGATCATTATAAAAAAAAAGACTATCTAGATTAGGCTGAGGTAGGAGGCCCATTCTAAAAGTGGGCAGCGCCATTCCATGGGCTGGGATACTAGGCTCCATGAAAAGAGAAGCAAACTGAGCAAAGCATGCATCTCTCTCTTTATTTTTATTTTTCAAGACAGGGTCCTATTGTGTAGTCCTAGCTGTTCTGAAACTCACCATGTAGACCAGACTGATCTCAGACTCGCAGAGATCTGCTTGCCTCTGCTTTCTGAATGCTGGGATTAAAGGCATGCACCACTACAGCCAGCCTTTCTGTGTTTCTTATCTGCAGATGCAATGTGACCGGCTGCTCAGTCTGCTCTGCCATGCATCCCCATAGTGATGGACTGGATCCTGGAACTGTGAGTTCCTTTGGTTTGTTTCGTCAGACATTTGGTCAAAAAGTAGCTACTACAACTCTGAACATTTCTGAGCAATGTTACCATCGAAAGCCATCTTTCCCCCTTATAAACAGTAGTGAAAGGCCTGCTGTACAATTTGTCCATAAATGAAATGACCTGACCCACCTGCTATCTGATACTCCATTGTAAGTATAAATGTCTCCATAGTTGTAGCTGCTTTTGTGGGGAGCTGGAAGTCTGTGGGAAAGAGAGACAAGGAGACACTCAGTTTATAGCAAGCATAGGACTGCACAAGACTGGAAAAGGAGAGGCATCTTAGTGGATTCATCACTCACTTGGGGGAAGGGATGGGAGCGGCCAGGTTAGCAGGGTCCGTCTGGAAACTGCAACCTCAATCATGTGATTTCTCTTTCTGACACTTCCTTTAGATTTTTTGTGTGTTTAGAGGGAGGTGTACGCATTCATGTGTGTATGTGTGTTCATGTGTGTGTGCCTGTATGTGTGCAAGTGCCCATACACATGTACCTATGGAGGCCAGAGGTCAACATCAGATGTCTTTCTTAATTGATCACCTTATTTTTGGGGACAGGTTCTCTTACTGAACCTGAATCTCATTGGTTCAGCTAAAGTAGATGATAACCAGCAAGCCCCAGATATCTTCATGTTTCTGCCTCCCCAGTGCTGAGGTTATAACCAACTACTGCCATATATAGATTTTTACAAAATTGAGCTTGGTTTCTGGAGAGATCAAAATCAGGTTCTACACTTTGTGCGACAATCAGCTTAGCAACTGAGCTGTCCTCCCAGCCTGCCTTGGGTTGGTTGTGTTGCTATAACCATGTTATTGATTTGAAGGAGAGGAAGGCAGCTTTCCCTCCTCATCTTATCCATTGCTGGAGAAGCTTGCGTGGCCATCGTCTGCCCTTGCCTGGTGGCCAATGTCTGTTCTCAGAAGCCCTCTTCATACCTGTGGTGGTGATGGGACAGGAAGTCTCACTCTCAGGAAAAGAATCTCTGCTTCCTTGAGATTCTTCACTGGCTGTAGAAGAGAAAAAGTAATATATTTGGAATCCAAGATAGAGATATGGGACTAGCTACACCTGCTAAGGCATGACATCTTGTTTGGGCATGTCTCAGGGACACAATTCCACATTGGGAGCACCAGAGGCAGTTAAATGTCTATAGTAGAGCATATAAGGGGGAATTCTAACCCTGACAGGGACTATCTATGGAACTGTGAGCAAGTCTTTCTCACCAGGCTTCCTACTCAGCCTGGATTCCACCCTTGACTTGGAAATGGGTCAAAAATCACATACCCACACCCACCACCACATGGAGCTAAATGGAGCTTTTACAGTCCCTTTGTGATCAGTGGTCCAGTGTGCTGTTGACATAGGCTAGACTCATTGGAGAGGAGGGAGCTTCAGTTGAGAAAATACCGCCATAAGATTGGACTGTAGGCAAGCCTGTAGAGTATTTTCTTAAATAATGATTGGTGGTGGAGGGCCCAGCCCATCATTGATGATGCCACCTCCAGGCTTGTGGTCCTTCTATAAGAAAACAGGCTGAATAAGCCAGTAAGCAATATTCCTCCATGTTCTCTGCATCAGCTCCTGCCTCCAGGTTCCTGCCCTGTTTGAATTCCTCTCCTGACTTCCTTCAGCAACAAACAGTGGTGTGGGAGTGTAAGTCAAATAAACTCTTTTCTCCCCAAGTTGCCTTTGGTTACAGTATTTTATCACAGATATCTAGGAACTTGTCATTCCATCTCTTACAAAGAAAACTATTGGCATGTCCTGACCATGAGGCTGGCTCACTGGAAGCAAGTTATGGGAAAGACATAGCAACCTGAGAAAACCATGGAAGAAGTCACAGAATGTGACAAATGGTAGTAGGTGAAGGAACTAGGAAAATTCATGAGTGAATGTGAGTAACTTTTGATTACAGAAGTAGTAAGATTTCAAACAAATATGGCAGAAGACCTCAACACAGGCAGATTTTATGTGAGCAGGAGTGGGCATGTGAACACACATGCTAAAGCTAACCACTTCCCAAGTACGTGTATTTTTTTTTAAATCAAAGATCATGGAGGACCTTTACAGGGGAGTGTAATAACAACAGAACACTGCACAAATGGCGTAGCTCTGTTAAATACAAGTGAAAGGAAGAAGCATGCAGGTGCAAAGCTGCACTTGCCCTTGTGAACTACGGGAAGTCTTGGTAGTTGGGCAGAAATGGTGGAAATTCAGGATCAGCCAGACACAGGATAGCATTATTACAATGCGATGGCATCCTGTGTGCATTGGAACCCTAAACAGATCACTATTTCTCTGCCTCTAACTATCTATGTGTAGAGCAGAGATGAAGGGATCTCAGTGTTGTTCTGTTCTGTTTTAAAAGATGAGACCTAAAGAGTCAAGTTGATTTTCCAAAGTCCCATGGCAGAGAGGAGTCGTACCTTGATCAGATGGAGAAAAGAATGGATGGACATAAGAAAGGAACAACCTACCTGGAAACTGATGATGTTCTCTTTCATCTACACATGTGAGCTGGGGCTGAGTCCACTCTGTCTTCCCACAGATCATTTTGCAGATGCTCATGGCAGGACCTTTCTGTAGGGCCTTGTATCCTTGAATGCACTCATAGTGAAGTCTCTGTCCTACCACGAAATGGTAGATTCTCTTGGTATCTTCATGTTCCCATGTAGGGGGCTCCCCGCAGTGACCTGGAAGAGGAAAATAATTCTGAAGGCAAGTTTGGGAAGGTGTAGTGAGTGCCTCTGTAGGTTGCTTCTTGCACCCAGAGTAACTGGTTGCTAGAAACTGGGCTTGGCTTTTATTCTTTTGTTTCACTCTCTTACTGAACCTATGGCTAATGAGAGCATCCAGGGGGCAGGAAGGTAGGCATTTTAGGAAGGCATGAAACCAAGTGTTGTACAGCTATTTCCTCCTAGTTGAAATATTCCCTCTTGGAGGGAGGCTCCTTTGGATTAAAAAATAAACAAAATGCACAGGTCTCTGGAAGTTCCTGAAACTCACCAACCCCCTGTGCAAAGTTACATAAGCTGTAGCAGTGACTGAGGGGTCCCTCAAATTGTTGGCGCTCCCTGCCAGTCCTGCAGGGATCTCCAGGGATGCAACTTTAATGGGTTGTCATCCATGCTGGGGTGGGTTTTTGGTGACTCAGCTGCATTTGAGTTATCCATGCTCCCAAACTCAATAAATTCATTGGTTCATCGCATGATACATGGATAGAATCGTTTCTTTGGCTCGTTGTCATGCCCTGTCTGATGAACAGGTGTTTGTTCATGGCTCCCCAGGAAAAGTCACATAGTGCCCTGTCACTCGTGGAAGGGTTGGACAGTTGATTAGTCAAGAAAGACATAGGTAGGTAGACAGAAAGTGGGCATTGCAAGTGAAGAGTGGATGCTTGCTAGGGCTACAGGGGATGAGATCTGCATCTGACTGATGCTGCAAAGACAGAGGGGTTTTGAAAAGTAGACAGGTGTAAGAGGGTACTCAGCTGGGAGACAGCAACAGGGAAGACCACTCTGGGTTTCCACGGAATAAGTGAGGGTCCATAAATTTGAGTGGCAGTTGGTAATCATTCTAGGACTTTGCTGAGCTGATTGAGGATAAGCCTTATGTCCAGAGGAGGGGAGACACTGAGAGGATCTCAGAGAAAAGGATCACGGTACCTAATTAAACCACATCTGCAGTTTGCCTACATTGGCCCCACCAGACCTGTGCCAGCAACTTTATACTCACTGGACTGACCCAGGCTTGGCTAAACTTTGGCCCCCAAGATCATGGCCTGTTCTGATTTAACGGAATTCCCTATCCACTGCCCTCCATGTGAGCAGATGGAACGATACAGCCTGTCTAACTCAGGATCATGAAATCACTCACAGGTTTGGGAACTTGCAAGATTCTCAAAAACAATCTCTAACAGGACCAACCGCACGTAAGCCCTCTGCCCTAGTAAGAAGATGAGTGTTCCTGGCTACATTGCACTTTGCATAGCAGAACTGGAACTGTGTTTAAGTCTCAAAACAAAATATTATTTTAAGGTCAAAAAATCATAATCGAACAGAACCTGTTTGAATTTGGTATTTTTTGGTTTTCCAAGACATGGTTTCTCTGTAGTTTTGGAGTCTGTCCTGGAACTTCCTCTGCAGAACAGGCTGGCCTTGAACTCACAGAGATGCTCCTGTCTCTGCCTCCCGAGTGCTAGGATTAAAGGCGTGCACCAGCACTGCCCTGCCTTGATCTGCTTCTTTAAGATGGAAACACAAAACTGTGACAATTTATGAAACATCCATCAGCTAGAAACAACTGGTTCTCTCTCTCCCTCTCCCTCCCTCCCTCCCTCCCTCCCTCCCTCCCTCTTTCTTTCTTTCTCTCTCTCTCTCTCTCTCTCTCTCTCTCTCTCTCTCTCTCTCTCTGTTGTTTGAGTGTGAGGAGGGCATCATACAGTTCAGGTTGGTTTTGAACTTCTGATCCTCCTGCTTCTGCTTCCCAAATGCCAGAATAACAGGCATGTACACCATGCCCAGTTCAGCTGACTGTCTCTTGAGTAAGAACATTGACCTTTCGATGTTGGCACCAGTTAGCAGGAAAGCAGAGCAAACATCAAATGTATTTGGAAACACCACTTCAGGATGGAGATGGAAGAGGAACCTAATTAAACCACATCTGCAGAAGGGGACTAAAAACTGTTACGGCGGAAGTTCCATTCAAGCCCCGCCTCATCTCTCTCCAAACCCTGCTGTATCTCAGAAAGCCCAACAAATAATGACCCCTCCCTCAGAGATGTTCAAGATCACTCCCACAGGGTATGTAAACTGTCTCCCAGAAAACAGACTCATGATTTTCCAGTCTCCCTTTCCTGTCTCCTCTTTTGGGGGCTGGACGGCCACCTGGGAGCATTGTATCCATTAAATGTGGGCTCTTACTAATTCAGTTTGATTTGGTCTGATTTGGAGGTTGTATCAGCAGAGAGGCTTATTGGGGTGCAGAAGCTTTTCAAAAACATCACATTGCAATAATGCTTTTTGATGGACCTTTCTTTCCCCACCCAGATAATGGATGATGTTAGTAGTTTTTAAGTAGTTAAAAATAACCCCTCAGTAGAAAGAGCTCTCATCTAATTTAAGCAACTAGAGGTCTTACTTTCATGCTATGATGTGACTTTAGCTAAATTGTTTAACTTCCCTGTGTCTCAGTTGATTCACTCGGTTGTGGGGTTATAAATGAGATTATACATGCTATAATAAAGTTCTTTGTAAGGTTATAACTTTATCATAAGACTACAGGTCTTCATATGACCAACCGGTCCGTGCAAATCTCAGGTAACCCTAGCAGACTCTCTTCCTGACATCGTGACTTAATTTAAGTGTTATTTCATTTGGGAAAAGTGTGGGCAGACACAGTGCCCACTCATCCACACCTCACTAACTAGTAAATAATTGTCTGTGGCTAACGTTTTATAACCCTGTTCTCTAAGAAGCAAATTGTTATCAATGGTTTTGCTCAAAGTTCATTGTCTTGCACTTAAGAGAAAACAGGAGGAATTTCTGAGGGCAGGCACTATTGTTTATTTAACTTGTTACTCCTGTGAGCAGTGCCTAGACTGCAGTTATTCCCAACACATGCTTTTAAACGGAATTAAATCTGCAGTTGAATTCTTATGCTCCCCAGCCATAGTCTATGTTACCTTCAGAAAGAGTGGCTTGAAATGCTAAAAAATGGGTCTGCTAACACTGGGCGATGTTGTCATTTGCATGGTGTCTGAGCAAAGGAGGAGTTGCACCTGCCTGTGGAAGACAGGACTAATCCCCCTCATTTGGCTCTTCCTTTCCCATATAGCCAAAACTCAGCTCCCAGGAGCCAGCTAGAGGATGGTTGTTGAGACTCAGATCTTACCTGGAAGGTTCCCTTGGTGCACAGACTGTGTTGATTTCTGCATTTCTGTGGTTTGCCAGTCTTTCTGGTCTTCAGGGTTAGGTGTAGCTTGCTTTCTTGGATTGTTATTGGCTAGAGAATATGGGAGGTATGAGGCAAATAAGTTCGCAAATGCTCAGAATAGAAAAAAAAAAAGCATGAAAAAAAAAAAGCTGTTCGTGCATTCATTCACCCCAGGACATTTCTCTAGTGCTGAGGAATGAATAGCTCAGTGCAGGGTTTGCAAAGGTACACAAACAAGCACTCCCTTGGATGGGGCTCGCACACCTCGTCTAGCACATTCTCATTCATATGCATGTTGACAATGGAGTCAGCACATTCCTAGAAGAAATGCGAGATTCTCCTACTGGAAAAATCCTGTGTACATGTGAATCAAGCACAATCAAAGTGCGTCTTCTCCTGCGTCTGTGCAGCCAGGGTTGTACACAGCAGGTGGGAGGAGTCTAACTCCACAGCCCTCACTTAACTTCTTCACTCTCCTGTAGTGGTTCAAAGCTATTCAAATTGGAGAAATGTGCTCTAAAGGCAATGGTAAGAAAACACCAGCTATGAAGAGAAGTTGCAGACGGGGAGGCATCAGAACTCCAGCTAAGGATAAGGGGAGATCTGTTGGAAAATGAGTTAACCAGGCATTTCGATAGAGCAGACACCTTTAAACTCTGCTCTCCACATGGTTTGGCTCACTGACTCACTCCATACCCAGGGTTAAGAAATAAAGTTGAATGACACAACAGATCTGTGGTGATATATTATTTCTAATCTAATAAAGCTTGTCTGGAGATCAGAATGCAAAGCTAGCCACAACCATGGAGGCCAGGCAATAGTGGTATATGTCTTTAATCCCAGCTTCCATACTAGTTACCAATAGAAGCTGGGTGGTGGTTGTGAAAGCCTTCAGTCCCAGCACTAGAGAGGAATATAAGACATGATCATGGTCTCAGACTTGGCAATTAGTCTCCAGCCACCTTGAGGACAGGATCGCCCCAGCCTTGTTAGAGGTAAGGGCTCTCTGGTGGCTTGGCTGTTTTGCCTTTCCGATCTTCAACTTGAACCCCAATATCTGTCTCTGAGTGTTTATTATTCATGCAACATGTATAAGTTATGGGATCCACCTAGGTGTCCAACAACAGATGAATAATTAAAGCAAATGTGGTATATGTGGAATTTTTCTTTAATATATGCATACATACATACATACACATATATGCATTTGAGCCAGGGTCTCACTGTGTAGTCCCAGCTGGCCTGGAGTGCACTATATAGACCAGGCTGGCTTTAAACTCACAGAGATCCACCTGCTTCTGACTGCTGAGTGCTGGGATTAAAGACATATACCACCACTCTCAGCTCAGTGGCATGATGGGAAATTTTCAGCCATAAAGAAGGAAATGGATGCAACTAGAGATAATAATATTAAGCAGATTAAGTTAGCCTCAGAAAGGGAAATATTATGTTCTCTTTCATTTGTAGTTCCTAGATTTTCCATAGGTACCTAAAATTAAGTACATCTAGATGACCTGAAAGTATAAGAATATTGTCCAAAGAAACCAAAAATGTTTAATGGAAGGGAAATAGAGGAGAGACTAGGGGGTATCAGGTGTGAGCAGGATATGTTCATTCTACAGTGTGTACCTGTATGAAAACAATCTTATGTAATATACTACTATGTTTAATGAATATATGCAATAAGAATGTTTTGTATATGATATATATATATATATCACTTTTCCACAGTCTCACCCCCCACCCCCAGAATGGAGAAGAAACTGAGTACAGAGACTGGCTATGTGAAGGAGAATACTGAACTCAAGGAAGAAAGAATAGAGACCAACAAAATCATGCAATCTATCAGATTGACTCAGGCTTAGTAAACCTAGTTCTTAGAATGAGTAGACTCATCGTTAGGTAATGTTAAATGAGTGGATATCCTAGAAGCCTCTAAAATGGATTACCCCACAGATTTGTCTACCATTATTTTATCTGTTGGTCTGAGTTAATGGAAGCCTGACTCTGTCTCCTGTTATCCCTAGCTCCTTTCCCATTGAGGTTACAAAAGAGATACTTACAGTTGCTTGAGCACTGACAGCTTTTGCTCCAGGAGTTTTCTAAACAAACCATATAGACCAACTCCTTTATTCTTCGAAACCCTCTCTTGCATTCACAGTTTAGAATGGTGCCATTCTTGTAGGCAGGGGCTTTGAATGTGGCATAGGCAACCTTTGGCGGGTCATGCATACACATCTCTGCAAAGACAAGAAGAATGTTAGTGTAGGGGCCCCAGTGAGACACAAGGTTGATCGTGCTTGCTCCCACATTTCTTCCTTCTATCTAAAGGAAAGGAACTAAGGTTCACACTGTGGTTCTCATCCTGACTGGTTTTTATGCCAACTTGACACAGGATAGAGGTCATCTGAGAGGAGGAAACCCCTACTGAGAAAACACCTCCATAAGATCAGGCTGTAGATAGGCCAATAGGGCATATTTTAAATTAATGATTGATAAGGGAGGGCCCAGCCCATTGTGGATGGGGCCACCCCTGGGCTGGTGGTCCTGAGTGCTTTAAGTAAGCAGGCTGAGCAAGCCAGTAAGCAGCTGATGTGACTCAGTGCTTTCGTGAGAAAGGACATTATTCACAGCTATAATGCCTCTGTCCATGACAGTACTGTGAATGCTACACAATGGCATTTGCAAGTCAACAGGCCTGCCAACCTCAAACCACTTGTCATCTGTGTATACTGAATCAGTTAGACAAAATCTATAATCAATTGAATTTACACATCAGAACCATAAAATGGTCATGAAAAAAATTCACCCAAACCTCCAAGAAGACTAGGCTTGCTCAGATAAATTTCAAGAGAAGTAAAAAGAAAGGGAAACAATGTTTATCAATTGGAAGATTGATTCCCCCCCCCTCCCCTTCAGTTTTTTGAGACAGGGACTCCCTGTATAGCTCTGTCTAGGAACTTGATTTGTAGACTAGGCTGGCCTTGAACTCACAGAGACCCATCTGTCTCTGCCTCCCAAGTGTTGGGATTAAAGGTGTGCACCACCACTGCCTGGCTTAGAAGATTGACTTTTAAAGGCCCATGTCAGTCTACCTTCAATTCAATGTAACTTCAGTCAAAACATCCAATGTACTTTTTAGTAAAATTGACAAGTTGTTTTTAGAGCTTCCTTGGAAGTGTCTAACTAAGACGATGCATATGTTTGGAGGTTCAGACCATCTGTTACCCAGACCTTCAATAAAACTAGTCATCAAGACAGCAAGCTTTTGGGATAAGAATGAGTACGGAACAGAACAGGAGATCTGGAAACCATACAGATTTAATCGCCCACCTTCCAAATTTGTCCAAGCAAATCCATAAAAAAAAAAAAGGAAATACTCTTGAGTCATGTGGATGAATGTGTAGAGGGAAAAAAGCTTCCTTCTATAGATAAAGCTTAGTGCTTTTTTTAACATATAAACACCATATACTAGCTTTACACATCAAACATGCAATCATAAAATTAAATCTGTAATACTTCTAAAAGGAAATAAAGGTAAATGGCCTCAGAAGTTGAGGATAGGTAAAGATTTCTTAGGACACAACATGTGGTAAGTATAAAAGAAAAATAGGACTGGAGGGATGGCTCAGCAGTTAAGAATGTTTGCTCCTCTTGCAGAGGACCTGTGTTCTGTCCCCAGCACTGGAACCAAGCAGCTCACAACCACCTGGAACTCCAGCTCCAGAGAATCTGACTCCACCTTCCCACTCTAACACACAGATTAAACATTTAAAAAGAAATAAAATACAAGCCTTTGGCCAATTCAAAGATCACAAGAAAAAGGAAAAGAAATGACAAACTGTGAGAAAAAATATTTATAATGTATATATGATGATATGTATTTCCAAAATACATAAAGACCTACATATCAACAATAAAATACGAATAACCCAATAAATGAACAAACACTTCAACAATCAAGTTTCAAAGTGATGTGGCACTCAATAAGTTATCAAGAAAATGTAGGGCCTTGAGAGAGCTTGGCAGATTAAGTGTGTTTGATGCCCAAACCTGATGACCTGAGTTCAATCTAATGGAACCCACGGAGGAAGGAAAGAACCCACCCCTGAGTCATTCCCTGACCCCCACACATGTGTTCTTATGCACCTGATACACACATAAACAATAACACATTTGTAAAGAAATAAAACAACTTGAAAACCATCATAAATTTGCCCATTAGAATGGGTAAAATGAGTTAGATTTTAAAAAAAACAATAAATCTGAGGGGCATCAGAGCTGCTGGTATTCTCTTACCTAGCAGTGAAAACACAAAATAAAATTATTTGGGAAAAACTGCTTAAGGCAGTGGTTCTCAACCTGTGGGTTGTGACCCTATGGGCAAACCTTGTCTCCTAAAATATTCACATTATGAGTCATAACAGCAGCAAAATTACAGTTATAAAGTAGCAACAAAAATAATTTTATGGTTGGGGGTCACAGCATGAGGGACTGTATTAAAAGGTAGCAGCGGTAGGAAGGTTGAGAACCACTGGTTTAAGGTATTTAAAACAGAGGCTGGAGAGATGGCTTAGTAGTTAAGAGCTGGATTTTTGCAGAGTCCATATTTGGTTTCCAGGACACACACTGTGGTTCACAGCTCTCTGTAATATTCCTAGGGGGATATGACGCTGCCTTCTGACCTCTGTGAATACCAGACATGGATATGGTGCACATACATTCATGTAGAAAAAAATACTCATAAACATGAAATAAATTTTAAAAAGTTTTAAAAAAGCATGGCCTGGCAGTTCCTCCCCAAGGAATTTGTCTAGGAGCAATGAAATAATGTGTACATAGGGAGGTTTTTTTTTTTAACAATGACTTATAGTAGACTGATTAATAACCAACCCAAGATGGGGCACAGTGGCAAATACCTATATTCCCAGAACTCAGGAAGCTAAGACAGGAGGATTATGAGTTTGATTACTGGGCTACTTAGAGAGACCTTATCTCTAAAACAACAAAACCAACTCAGTGACTTCTATAACTATCATTATGAGAATAGAGTAAAAATTAAAAAAAACATTCAAAGGAGTGAATTACTGCCACTTGCAACATAGATGCATCTCAAAAAAATGTTGAATCAAAGAAGCTAAACAATGTATGATGCCATGTACATGAAATTAAAAAGAGAGACAGAGAAACACACACTCACACACACACACACACACACACACAGAGAGAGAGAGAGAGAGAGAGAGAGAGAGAGAGAGAGAGAGAGAGTGCAGATAGAGAGTTTAAACACAGAGAAATTAGGCTAGTGGTTTCTTGTGGTAGACTGTGATTAACTTGGAGGAGATAGCAAAAAGACCTCAGTGTTGCTTCTATGCTTGTGCAGTTGTCGGAACTCATTACGTCACTTCAAATCTGTACATTCAGCTTCTCTGTAAGCAATCTTTCTTACATATCACACACACTAATAACAGTGATAATCGTAAAAAGTAAAACAAAACAAAGCCTGCAGGCCTGTGGTCTGGAGGGATAGATCAGCAGCTACTTTTTATTGTGTTCTGTAATCATTAGGATTAGTGTGGATCCCAGCACCCAGGCAGCAAGCCTGCTGTTCCTATGGATACCCACAACACCAGCGCCAAGGCAGGAGGACAGCTTGGATTTACTAGCTCCCAGACTAGCTGAGAAAGCATGAGGCCCAGGTCCAGGGAGAGCTCTACCTCAAATGAATAGACAGAGAGTTACAGAAGCGAGCACTTAATGGCATCTTATGGGTTTAATAGTACTCAGACATATGCTTCTATACACACAAGTGTGCACACACACACGCACAGTCCCAGATACACACACTAAATAAACAAATAAGTAATACGTAAAATCCTATAAAAATAAATTCTCTATAACTAATTTCACTGCAACACAATCACTGAACTTAGCCACTCTTGAGTTCATCAGCACAAACAGTCAAGGATTAATCTATGTATATTTGGAATCTGGTAACAAGCTACAAGCCAAGGAACCTTTCAAACACCTAGTTTGAAAAGGATCAGTTACGTCATCTTTGGAACAACTTTGCATCCCTAGCATTCTTCAATACAAGATGGTGTTTTTCTAGACAAGGCCATGGAAATTTCCACAGTTCGGTAGACTAGTCCAGTGTCCAGGGAGGTCATGTGGGGACATGGAGAAAGTTCTAGAATTTTGTACTCTCACAGATTTTCCTTTCCTAAAAAACCTTTCCTGGAATTGCTTATAATTGTTTCCCATGAAAGGCCTTGCCAAATGTGTTCCAAAAATTATCTAAAAACCATGCATGAGGCAGAAGGATCCATGGGAAATGCTGTCCTGGGGGTTTGTTCTTTTTGATCCCATAGGAGTAAATCTGGGTTATTCTTAGTTCTTCTCACTCTATAGTCATAAAAGAAACAGCCAAAAAAATAATAAAAATAATTTGTCTAGAAGGTTCTTAGAGAGGTCATGAAGGAGAACTCCAGGTATACATCTCAGGGAAGGAATCCTAAACACTTCATATTACCAGTCTAAAATGACATCACGTGGCAGCTTTACCTCAGAAAACCCTAAAAGCATGTCTTCCAAGTTCAGCTTCCAGGTTTTTCTCTGCCTTAAATCTTGGACTTTGGAGCTCTCAGGAGACTTCTAGCATAGACCCAAGGCTCACGGATGTGGTTTGCCTTTCAGTTTTCATACCTCTCATGTAGGCGCTGGGCCAAGAAGCAACCAGTGATTGTTTATCAACCTGATAATCTCAAGGGTTTGGACCAGAGACCTGCACTGGGAGAGTAACGCCAAAGTCTTCCAGTGTTGAACAAGTCCATCTTACGTCAGATTCACCATGTTGGGTGGTCCCATTCTCCCCAAACTCCTCCTCCATCACTCTCCCTGAAATACTACCATGATGTAGCTACCCTTGTGATTATTTGTGGATATAATGTCTGCAGATATCTCCCAAACAAATGAAATATAGGAATCTTTGACTTCTTCAAGCTCTGGAAGACCCTAGTGACTATCACAAAGCCTCCTTCCTGTGGACTGTATTGAGGAACAGGTAGGGGTTAGGGTAAGCTCCTGACTGGTGTCCTCTCTGTCCCGAGGACTGTTGTTCTCCAGTGCACAATGAGCAAGGCCTTAGTGCTTTGGATGTGACTTTAGAGTGGTTTGTCCTTTGATTGATTCAGTCTGTGGCGGGAGGAAAAGTGGGTGAATGAGAAACATTTGTGGACTG